ATGTGAGTCACACAGACTTTTGGCCGTAAGGCTGTTTTTTCTGTGTGTGGAAGACCGTGTGTGTGTGATTAGTGCTTCTGTGGGTCAAATGAACACTTCCCTCAATTGCAGTTAATCAATAAATTCTGTGACTTTTCTCTCAGGCCCCCACTCTCTTATCTCCTTCTGCTCGTCAACCTTTCCTTTCCTTTCTTTCCTTTCCTTATTTTCAAATCCTATGTTGTGATAGCAGAGGAAAGGCCACAGCATTGAATGGTCTCTTGTGAATGAAGTGAATTGAGTCAGGGCTCATCTGTATGCATGAGAGGCTCCCATAAAGTAACTACGCATATCAATCATGCTCGGCGTGGCTTCGTGTTCGACAGGATTCATCACCTTCCTTGGGATTCCTCTGGCAAGATACAGTATAATGTACATGAAAACACACACAGACACTTACACATGCGTGTATGCACACTCACATTTCACCAGAGCGGGCACACTCAGTCACTCTTTCGACCACAATCACACACATGCTGCTCAGCACTCTGTCAAGCTGTCAGTGCAGTTTGACACCAGCTCTCCTGTCTCATCATTAGTTTTGGTGAGATATGTCCTGTCCCCTCAACAAAAACAAACATGGCAGGCAGTGACAAATCAATTAATCAGACAGGGCATTTGCCGATAGTTATATTTCACTTACAACTAATGTGCATTGAACGTCTCAGAAAAGTTTCCAATAATGCATGGACAACACCTTCAATCGGTTTCCACCAGAACAGTTTTGATCGATGAATCATCAGACTCGGATAGTTTGCTGTCAAAGCGCCAGCTCTCCATGACTGATGATCTCTTTCCGTACTAACTGAAACAAAGAGACAGTCTTGCTTCTTTATGCTATGTTGATCAGAAAACATGAACGCCTGTGTGATGGTCTTTGTTTTTTGTATGTGAAATGTATATTCAGTAAATGGACATTTTATAGGGTATATCAAACTGTAATAGTTGTCATCCAGATGTAGGATTGTGGAAAATTATAGGCAGGTAAAATTATGTTTATCTTACATAATGATTTTCTCATGGTTGTTGGGTTAGTTAGTTAGTTAGTTGTAGTTGGGTTTTTCTTCTTGTTAGTGTGTAACTAGAGAGGAGGTGTGTCTGTAGTCATGCAGCCTGAGGCCTCTTGCTTTATTTTCATCATTTCTTGGTTTTGTTTTTGTCTGTATTGGCCTAGGAGTCTCCCTCAAACCAGCCTCTCTTCCCCTCAGTCCTTCTCTTCTCTGGCTTTCACCTGCTTTGGTCTGCAGTTTACAGTTATGATTATTCCTATTTTTCCTGTTTGTTTTGTATCTTCCTAAGTTTCCTTTCCACTTAATTTTTTTTTTTAGTTTTAAATATATAGATATAGTAATTTGTCTCTTAGTCCCTGCTTTCCATTTTCAGTCTTATTCATTTAGACTCTCTGCCTACCTGTTTTCTAAATCTATGCAATGTTATTTTTCCCCACACTTGAATCCTTCTCCATTTCCTTTTATGCTTTCCTCCCTTCTGTAAGTTTCTGTTTTTTCTGTCTTCCTCGTCTTGCCTGTTTTATTTTCTTCCTTCTTTTTTTTGCTCACCCTCCTTGCATCTCTCTCCTCCTCCTCTTTCGCAGCCTCCCTTTCTTTAGTCGATCAGACAGTTGAAGCAGCCAAGCTGCCGGAGGCTAGAACAGACAGAGGAGCCGCTCTGTCCGACCTCCCTCCCTCTCCAGAGAGGCAAACTAATGCAGACACGCCAATAAGCTGTAAGGAGATAATTATTCACCATTTATATCAGCCCGACATCTTTTCACGATAGTGCAGCACACATCTGGAACCCGGCTCTGTTACTCCACATAGTCATTTTTAGGTTTTTATCCTTTTATGGATTACATTTTAATTGATTGATCAGGAGAGATTCACGCCGGGATGTTAAAGCTTAAAGGTTACAGCATACTTGTCACTGGAGAATCCACTTTACTGAACAGTAATCTAACAGCGAAAATGTTAGAAAATAGCAGATAAATTAGACATGATCTCCTCTCCCATTGAAACTACTATTAGTGTGCCCTTCAGCAAGGCATTTAACCCTCAACTGCTCCACGTGATCTGGTTACTCTCCTGCATAAAGCCTGCATTTATACTGAGCGGCTCCCTTGTCTAAATGTGGTTGGGTGTATGAACTAGAGACAGCTTGGGTGCTGAAAAGACCTGCGTTTGTTAAGTCATTTGAATGAATTTCAACATAACCAAGAAAAAGGAGCACTGCATTTAAATCTGGCTTACATTTCCAACTTTTTAATATGTTTAAAAAGTGATTTTTTGTTCTTTTAGCACAAAGTCGGGAGAAGTTAGAGAAGAAATGGTTTTGGTATGATTTTTTTTTCCAGTACAATAATGAAAAGACTGAAGCAGTAAATGATTGACTGCTTTTTTGATGAGCTCCTCAAGCGCACAGTTTCGTTTACAATCACAAACACACAAACACACATTCCTTTGGTGCGCACAGCCAGCATGCGCTTACTGTAATACGTACACGAAATGAGTAACTGCACTCATACCACAAATGCTCTCGTTTCCTCTTTTCTTTTTCTAAAATATAAATCTTCAGAAAATAAGAACAAAATGATGATAGCCAAACAACAAGATTCACAGGATTACTTTTTGTGGGCACAGAGGTCTGGTCACTGACAGTACAGATGTGGTTTAGAAAGCTACAGCCAAAATCCAAAATCACAGATTTTATTAACCACATCTTTGCAACTGGGAGTCAGTGTGACCTACAGTCTTCTCTTTCATCCCTTTTACTTCTTTTTGGGGGGGATTAAAAAAAAATATCCCATAAATGAAAATATCATTCAAAAATTACAAATATAAGCAGAAAGTTACACTCGCTGTGCTGTCACACCTTAAGCTATTAGCATGAGCGGGAACATAGAGAGACAAATTTTAAACTTTCTTTTATTTTGAACTTGATTTCTGGCTGTGGATCACGCCAGCTGTTGTTATGTCTGATCGAGTTGAAGTTTAAGGTGAACAGGCCGCCCACTTTCTTCCTGTCCGTTCAATGATAACAGTTGTACAGCACAGTGAAGATTTGTTCTCCCTGTGACTCGATGCTAATCACATCATTGTGCTGCCCCGTCCCCCATGTTTCTCTCTGGGGTTTCACACTCCTCTCTGGCCTTTTCCTCCTCACCCGCTGATTCTCTCGCTCTGTCTCCGTTTCTTCCCTCCCCCCTCCTGTCTTACCTCATCATAAGGGAGGTGAAGCCATCTGAGTCTATTTGCACGCGAGCCAGCCTCCACATGGGTCAGTACTGTGCAGATATTGTCACCGCAAAGAGTTCCCATCATGCATCTGTCATCCCTTATTGCTTCAGAGTATGCCACAAACTGCTTTCTACTCCATGTTTTATTGGGATGTGGGAATTCGTTGATTATTATAACAGGACAGAAAATCTTGTTTAAATCTTTTGTTATGGATACTGTACACATAGATTT